TCTTACGATCCAACAGAATTACAAAATATGGGATCAGATTTCTATTGAGGATGGCGCATAAGGGGGTAAGCATGGAATTGGACAAACGGACTTTGAGTGCATCAAACAGCTTATTGGGAAAACTTAATTTTGAGGCTTATGTACCGTGCTTCCTGAAATGGGTGTCCGCTTGATTATCAAAATCCACGCTTGCCGATGCGATAATGATACTTTTCTCACTTCGTGGAACCGCGTTTGGTGATTCTAATATAATTTGGAAACTTTTATTTTTATATCTGGAAGACTGATTCTCTTATATCCAGATTGTGAACCACTGATCATGACCGAGAAGAAACCACTTCAACGAGCACCAATGTGTCTACAAAAGTGCAGTTATATTAGATGCAATACGAATCGGGGAAAGACATGTTTGCTACAGACATTTCCAGGTCAGCAACGAAAATTAAATATCGTGATTTTTCCTTGATGATGATGAAGTTTGGAATTCTCCCAATGCTGAATACCACTATCGCAGATCGGGGTCCGAAGTCTAAAAATGTTCCTAAGAATGTGCAACATTTTTCAGATTCTAGATGAACTGGCCGCGTTTCACGGGCATTTTTATTGTCGCACGTGGCCGGTGGTTAACAGGTAGTTCGACAGAATGTGATACGTTTGCAGTAAAATTCTCACACTGGTATTAACGAGTGTCTCAACCATATCAAAGCGTATCATTGGCTAATACCAAGCGGACAATATGATTGTACAGGTGACTTTGTTTATTGGTTGAGTTTTGTCCTTTGTGTATCTGAAAAATCCTCAAAGAACCGATTTCTGAAAAAATCTATCCATATAATGACACTTGTTCCACTTACGTGGGTCGATTCAGCAGGTAGTTATCTAAACTCATCAAATAACTTCCCGCACGAGAGCTAAACACAGATGGAAAGGGATTATTTTTATTTTATTTTTTGCTCACATCAAAGACTCGATAGAAAACAAATACCATACGTATGATTGGTAAGCACGATAGGTGATCCTTGTACT